TCATCATCATCATCATCATCATCATCTTAGAATAGCAGAGCTGGAAGGGACACATGGATCATCAAGTGCTGCCCTTGTCAAGGAGGCATAGTGGGGAATTGAACTCCCTATACTTAACCGAGCTATTCAGCAGTGTGTGTGAGACAGAGTGGGGTGGAGGATGAAAGAGAGAGGCATTTTGGGGCTGCAATGAATAACAGTTTAATATTAATCATAATTGTGTGCTATTAATTCAATTCCAATTTATGGCAATCTTTGTCAGTGCTTTCTAGGTATAAAACACACAGAATTGGTTTACAGTTCCTTTCTTCAGGACGCACTCTCATGCCGTGTAGCTTGCCCAAGACCACAGAGGCTGGGTCTTCTCCTACAAGGCACAGCAGGAAACTCCAAATGCCATCTAGTATTTAATCTGAGCTTCCTGCTGCTCACCTTCAGAGGGTGCTTCACAAAAATGACCAGAATCCTACTACTGTTTGCACGAGTTTTGTGTAACATGCCCTGATTAATTGTAGCTAATTTATGAAGTGCAGGGGCATATTGCCATTGCACAGTTGGGCATGTGACATGAAGTGCAGGGGCATATTGCCGTTGCAGTTGGGCATGTGACCAAGCCACGGCTGAAATGCTTCTGGGCAGTTAGCTGCAATTAGCTGTGGTAAGCTACGCAAACCTTGTGCAAACACCAGTAGGATTCTGGCCAATGATATATTTGTTTCTTCAGCATTAAATCTGTGTCTGTAGATCTCTGACAGAGAAATAGAGAGCACCTTTGAGCATGTCCAGCATTATTCTGTGGGCAAATACTTCTGGCAGAGCCATAGTATAGATCATCCATATATAGAAGGGCATGTGGTTTGTGAGATGGACTGTTTTTTTCTCTCATGAAAGATTCAGAAAATGAAACGTAGGGGAAGTAGGGCTGAGGCTCAGTCTGGCTTGGGAACTCTCTGTTCTTTACATTTTAAGACACTTTATTTATTTATTTATTTATACAGACCATCAGGACTGCTGTTACTTTTGGAAGTTGTTATAAAAGGTTGCTGAATCTTTCCTTACAGCTTGATGTCACGAAGGGATTAGGGAAGCATCCATTAGCCTTGCATTAGACCGGATATCCTGCTTCACTGGACAAAAGGTTAATCGGTGCCAAATCTCTGCTCCAGAACCAATTTGGAAGCCCCACCTATCCTCAAAACCCCCTAAAGCTTTACAGCGGTGGGCGGGGGGGGAGGAGTCTGGAAGCACAACCCTTCCTCAAAAAGAGCATTAGAAAGAAATGTAACAGCTACTAAATCACTATGTGGTTTACTGAGATTTCACACACCCCTCCCAATACAGGGTAGGTTGAAGTACTTTGGGAATCCTCTGTTAAACAACAAGCAATGCTGCATTCTTGCTTTTTATAAAATGCCTTGATTACATTTTCCAAGTGCCCTACAGAGATTTCAGCAAAAAGGAGCAAGTTTGCCTTCAGGGTTACAATCAGATGAGAGAGAGCGAGAGAGAGAGAGAGAGCCTTATAATCAGATAAGAGAGAGAGAGAGCTAATGAATGCAGGTGCCTATTTTATATGAAATTTATAATCCAAACACATCTTGTGTCTGCTTTGCATGCTCAGTCCTTATTAAGCTGGGCTTGCTTTTGGGTTTCTTTGCTTATTTTGTCTCATAGAATTTGTTTTTTGGTGGGATGCTTCAGTAACTCAATGACTCTTGGCTTCCTTTCCAATTCTACAGTTCCACGAGTCTATTAATACTTTTGTACTATAAAAACCAGAGCAATCCCATCCTCATCTTCAAATATCTCTTCCTTGTGAAGTGATAGTGGTATTTTGGGTCCATTTAGAGAATGAATTTACTGTATAGTAATCAGCAGGTCTGAGGAGTCAGTTGTGGGTAGAGATGCGGAAAATCACATTTCAACAATGTTGGAGTTAGGAGTGCCAGACCCCTATGTAGATTAAAATCCATGTTTAACTCTTATGCCCCCAAAACCATAACTATAAAACAAACACACACACACAGGTCTGGTCCAGATTCCCAAAGGCCTAGCAACGCTGCTTATCTTTCCTTCTCACAATTTGTTTCTGATGTAGATTGTGGAGATGCATAAGGAGAAAGTATCCCGCCAAGAGATAGGGTCTCTTACTATTTGCAAGATGCTCCCATGCTACCAGAAAATCATCTACCCGAAAGACCCTGAGCCCTTGGAGCCATATTACAAGAAGCCACTGAACTTCAGCAGTTTGGATGAAATTGGCCATGGAATAAAGGTAAGAGCTGATTTGCTCCAAAGCAGGATCTCCTTCAATGGATCCTGTTACTGTATTGTTTTTCATTGATCCCCTTTGTGTGTGTGTGTGCTGTTTGCTGATGCTTCCTTATGGGTATTTTTCTTCTGCTCAGTCTGGTGTGCCCCATGGAAGAGTAAAACAAAGAGGGAAGAAAGGAGGGAATGGAAATGATAGGCAAAAATAGAAGGGTAAACTGTATTGGGAATGAGAGACATCAGGGAGCAGTTCTGGATGTGTGTGGACCAGCGCTACCAGGGTGACCTAATAAATCCCCAGAACATTAAAAAAAATACTGTCTCCATGTGTAAACACCAAAACTGGGATGAACTATTCAAATTTGCAACAAAAAAGAGACCAAAACAATCCAGAAACAGTATCAGAACAACTGAAGACAACACCATTGTGTGGAAAAGTCCAAAGTCAGCAATTCCACTCCCCTGTTGACATTTGTAGATGGAAAAGCTGGAATGTCAGATTGCCACCAGAAGCAGCATCGGTAGGAGTGAACAGCTGTGGGCACCAATAAACAAGGAAGTGAAAAGCTGGTCATATACGTATATGTATATGGTGATTCATATAGAGACAGAAAGTCCGCTGCAGACAGTAAGTCTCCAAACCCTTCCTCTGTGGAAAAGCTGCTTCTTTTGAGGAACCATTGAGGAATTAACTTTCTTCCCTTTTTAAAAAAAAAATGAAATGAGCTAGTAAGAAAACAGCATGACAAGATATACATCTTTGGAAATCAAATCCAAAGAAGTATCTAGAGCCATACTAAAGGTGGGCAAAGGCCATGGACATCCTTTGGTGGGAAGGTTGCCAGACCAATATGCCTGGCAAAGTTACTTTTTACCACAACTATCAGAATCTGTCTCTGCATCACTTCTCCCGCCAGCATGTCCAAAGGGAATTGTTATACAAAATAGTGGGGGAAGAGAGGACTTTTCTGAGTTCTGCCTTAGCTGGAAACCACTCTAATTTTTGTTCCCTGTTTCTGTACTTCTGTACTTAATAATAAGGCATGCATCTTCCTGTCTTGAAAGTCTATATCTATATCTATCTGTCTAATTGAACATCAAAACAAGTGTGAGCAGACTTCAGGCTTTGGAGATCCCTGAGAATTACCACTCAAAGACTGTGCAAAAGGCAACTGTTGTGGTCCCAACATCATCATTTGCAAGCTAAGCTTTCACACCCTTGTGTCTTCTTGTGGGTGTATTGTTGGGATAAGGAGGAGAGATTATCTCCTCCTTATCACAACACAAAAATACAACAAATGTTATGGTCAGCAAAGGACAGAAGGGACCCCCTCACCACTGCAGGAGTATACCGGATACCTTGCAGTTGTGGCCAGGTATACA